CCCAAATGCCATCAGGGGGGACTAGATTGGATTAAGAGAAAGGAAAAGTGGGACATATACACCAGGAAACTATGCAGCCATAAAAACGTATGAGTTTGATTGCGTTGTAGGGACTATAGGATTTGCAGCTGAAAACATCATCTTAGCAAAACTATTCAGCGTGAAGAACAGACAAACCAAACACCCGGATGGTCTCATCATAGTAGTGGGACATTGCAACAATGAACGTCACTTGGACTCAGGTGGAAAGGGAACATCACACACCGGCCATTATCGATGGAGGAGGGACGGGCTGGCATTGGGGAAGTTCAGTTACCCTGGATGTAAATGACGGAGTATGGGTGTGAGCACAGCAAACATGGCACCAAGGTTCTACATATGTAACAAACCTGCACGTTTATGGCACATGTAACCGCTCACACTAAGTATAATAATAAATTATAATTAAATTAAGAAAAAAAAAAAAAACAAACATGTAAACAGAACTGAAAAAAAAAAAAAAAATTATTTTACCTGATGATCTATCTGACTTAGAAATACAAACAATAAATACAGTAAAAGAAAAATGGTAATAACAGCCATTGATGATCACTTGAGAGTCAACAGTTTTCTACCACTTGCCACCTCCCCACAATGAAGTTGACTCAAATGTATGCTTCCATTCTCCTTAAATGGATCTTTTCAAATACACAAAGTAAGTAATCATTAAAGGATATTGTAATAGGTGGCTAGTGCCAATATATGCCTGACAATATTACAAGAAAAACAAATATTGGTTTATGTTCTAAGTCAAGGAGGTACTAGAGAAAACCAGCAGATGCCCTAAGTCAATGAATATCTTCTTCCCTCCCTTCCTTCATCTTTCTTTTCTTTGTTTATAAAATATTGTTTTAAGGAATGAAATAATACATTTTCCTGTATATACTTTTTGATTGGGTTAAGAAATATCTGTAATCATTGTGTAACTGTAAATGCTTATGCTTTTAATCACCAGATAATAGAACCACTAAGAGACCAAAAATGCTTGGAAAGAGAAAAAATATATTGATAAGTATGGGAAGGGCTGTAATACATGTGTAATCCGGATGAAATACATCTGTAAATCTCATGTTTCAGAGATTAATTTCTTTTTGTTTTGTTTTGTTTTGTTTTTTTTGAGATAGAGTGTCACTCTGTTGCCCTGGCTGGAGTACAGCGGCATGATTTCAGCTCACTGCAGCCTCCGCCTCCTGGGTTCAAGTGATTCTCCTGCCTCAGCCTCCCAAGCAGCTGGGATTACAGGTGCCTGCCACCATGCCTGGGTAATTTATTTATTTACTTACTTTTTTTTTTTTTTTTTAATTTTTTGAGACAGAGTCTCCTTCTATTGCTCAGGCTGGAGTGCAATGGTGCAATCTTGGTTCACTGCAACCTCCACCTCCCAGGTTCAAGGGATTCTACTGCCTCAGCCTCCTGAGTAGCTAGGATTACAGGCATGCGCCACCACGCCTAGCTAATTTCAGCATTTTTAGTAGAGACAGGATTTCACCATGTTGGTCAGGCTGGTCTTGAACTCCTGACCTCGTGATATGCCCACCTCGGCCTCCCAAAGTGCTGGGATTACAGGCATGAGCCACTGTGCCTGGCCATGCCTGGGTAATTTTTTTGTATTTTTATTACAGATGGGGATTCACCATGTTGGTCAGGCTGGTCTCGAACTCCTGACCCCATGATCTGCCTGCCTCGTTCTCCCAAAGTGTTGGGATTACAGGTGTTAGCCACCATGCCTGGCCTCAGAGATTCATTTCTAAGCCAGTATCTGTAACAGAAGCTGATCTCTCAAGTAAATGAGTGAGTTAAGTGATGATATGGGATTACCAGAAACATCATGGTCTCAGGAGCATAGGTGCTGCAAGCCGATGCTTTCCTCAGAGGCTCTCTCAGGCACTCTGTTTCATCTTCATTCTGTACAATGTCACTGCTGTCACTGTTGTTATTGGTTTCATAATCAGAGGTAACTTGAGCAGTGTCATCTACAATTAAAAGAGAACAACTTATTACGAGATCCACAATGGGGAAATGCGGCTCATTTAAGCAAATTTTGCTAAGATGCATATGGTAAATATACTGTTTAGGGAAACAGGGCTTTCATGAGCTTACACTCCAAGAATATAGGATCATAGGATGGAGAACATCACACATCTGTTAACAAAGTAAAACAGATGGAAATTATAATCTGTAATCCGCATGACATTCAATAATCCCTCAATAATATTTTTTAGATCAACAGTTCATACCTTTAACAAATCCTAGGACTTTATGTTTCTTTTTTCTCTATTTCTCTCCCTATACGTTAAACCACTGAGTGACTATAACACTCTAGAATGGGCACATGAGGTGGGAGAAATTGAATTGACATACCCAGGAGTAAAGAGCTCTGTAGAGCACAGAGTGATGGTATATGCTTGGGAGCATGGGAAATCCTATGTATCCAATCCCATTTCTTAGAATCCTGTGGCTTCCTTCCTTATCTGCCCTTTTTCACTGTCCCCATTTCAGTCAGCAGGAAACTGTACTAACTAAAAGACCAATCAGTAAATACCCAGAGTCTGACGTCTATGCTCTCTGAGCTCCTATGACGTTTCTCATAGCTGAGTAAGGTGCCTGAAGGAAGTTTATTGAGTATTTGCTATGTTTTGGGAACCACTTAAAGTACTTCCAATGTCAGAAGTAGCAAGATAAAATAGTATTTCTATATAGTTCTATATATTATATACAATGGCCTCTTGTGTTTTAGAAATATACACATGTATAAATGTATAAAAACATTTTGGAAAGCTTTGCACCCAAACTTTACCAATGATTAACTCCAGTGAGTAGGGGTACAGATGATTTTAATTTTCTCCCTTGTCTTTTTAAATCTGCAATTTAAAAAATCAGGCCAGGCGCAGTGGCTCATGCCTGCAATCCTAGCACTTCAAGAGGCTGAGGCGAGAGGATCACTTGAGGCCAGGAGTTTGAGACCAACCTGGCCAACATCACGAGACCACGTCTCCCAGCACCCCCCAAAAAATCAGAAATGTAGGTCACCGTTTTGATCAGGAAAACAAAAATAAGGCAATTTCCATTTTGGGAAACAGAATCCAAAACAATGAATTACCTGTTCTACTTGGTGTCCGAGTGGCTACCCCACTTCTCTCCAGGGGCTCGTCAGCAGGATTCCCTTGGGAATATGGTCTGCCACAGCTAAAAAACATTGGAAAAGTCATAGGCACATACCATCTACTCTACATTAAGATAAACAACAATAATCAAATATTTCTACCTTCTGCTTATTTGTTTTGTGAAAATATTCATTTTGTTTGATACATAAATGCTGATATGCAGTGTACTACTTTCTTTTTTGTGAGACAGTAGTCACTACAAAGGATTAGAAAGTTCATTTGACTCTCAGTCTCCTCCTCCTTTACCTAGATCATATTTGAGGTGAAAGTGATGGTAAAATTTTGTTAGATTATTTAGAGAATACTGGTATAGGCTGCGACTTACTTATAGTGGCCATTTTGCAGGTGTTGATCTATATTTGGACAAGGGTTATCTGCCACAATAAATACCTCTGTGCCTGCTTAAAAGCCTCATTATGGGCCAGGCTGCTTAAAGGCTCATTATGGGCTCACGCTTGTAATCCCAGCACTTTGGGAGACCAAGGCAGTTGGACCACCTGAGGTCAGGAGTTCAAGACCAGCCTGGCCAACATGGTGAAATCCTGTCTCTACTAAAAGTACAAAATTTGCCAGGTGGGGTGGTGGACGCAGTAATCCCAGCTACTCAGGGAGGCTGAGGCAGGAGAATCACTTGAACCTGGGAGATGGAGGCTGCAGTGAGTGGAGATTGCACCACTGCACTCCAGACTGGGTGACAGAGTGAGACTCCATCTCAAAAAAAAATAAAAAATAAAAAAAAAAGAACCTCATTGTTAGATTTATTTATTTGGGTTACGATATTTTCATGTCTAAACAGACCTTTAAGACAGGATAGGTTGAAACAGAATGATAGTATATGAATTTTACGTTTTGCTACAAAATAAAAAATTGACTTCTTTTTATCAGATTGATCAGTTACTTGTTAAGGCCCTAGGGAAATGAACAAAAGACGGGTGTATTTTGATGACCAGTGAATGTATGACTGACTACAGAGGATGCTGGTTGAGAGAAACAGGCCCCAGAAGTACTATAAACCACCAAGAAAAAAAAGTTAAGAGAGGTAAGCAATGCGCTCTACCAGAGGGTGTTGGAGGAATGAAGTTTGACTGTTTCAAAAATTAAACAGTAACCCCACAAATGACCTGGCTCAGGCCATAAACTGGCTCTTCCCTCTTCTATCTTGTTTAGAGACTTCATGATTAGATTTTGATTCTGCATTTCGCTGCTGGGTTCTTTCTTTCTGACTAATATTACAAAGGGTCTCAGAGGATTTATTTGTTTGTTATTTAACCACAGACTACCCACTCTAAAATGAAAAAAGTAGTGATAGCTTATTGTTTAATATCTTAAATAACTCATCATTTTTTTTCCCTGAATTGTGCTCGTGTGTGCGCTAAGAGAAGAGCATTTTCCAGGAAGACCTCATCTGCATACTAAGTAACTTTACTTTTCAACCCTTGAGTGTAAATAGAAAAACATTACCTGTAAAATATTTCTAATTATTAAATCTGTCAGTTTGGGTTAGAGAACAAAAAGAAAATGATAGGACAAAAAGGAAAAAGAAAGGAGATGGAATTGGTAGGCTTACATTCTTAGACGAAGCTCAGAAGAAGTTGAGTTTATTAGCCTGAAAATTTTTCATTGCAAAGTAATACCTAAAAGGACCATTTAAATTAGTACTTCCAATATGCCAGCTCTCATGCCAGAAAAATAGCTTGTTGCATAGACATTACAGCAGCCAAGAGACTGGGATTCAACGCCAAACTCTTCAAGTTCAGCAGGGGAAACCACAACAATTAGTCGTGTGTTTCTGGAGCTCTCTGTGCCTACATGGGTGGCTGCCTTTAAGGCAATAATAAAACCGGGTTTGAATTACAGATTTATAAAGCCCAAACAAATAAAACATACACTACTGGATTTATAAACATTACTGAACAAGTAGACAGTGGAATCCTCTTGTTTTTCTCTGAAACCTTTTATAAAAATTCCATTGCATTCTTCCTGCTAAGAACACAAAAACAAACAAACAACAACAACAAAAAAACCACAAAAAACTACACTATGATGAAAAAAGCTATGTGAGTGGTAGAGCTTTTCTGAACATCTCTCTCCTTTCTTTAGGGGACTTATTTTCCCGAAGTCTGGAACCCACAGTGGGAGACTCTCCCTAAAAATGCTGAACCCAGATGTCCTCGATGCAGATTACTCCACTGGGCTTCATCTTGGCTCAGGGTGCATACAATAAAACAATGTTTCTTAATTGTGTTCTGCCAAACATTAGATCCGTGAGCAATTCTTGGGTGTTAACCCAAATAAATTGGTTCTGTGGTCAAATAAATTCAAAAAACACTAAATGAAACAACAAAAATAAATAAAGAGGGATTCTTTTAACAGAGCTTCTCAGAGCTTTCAATAAAGCCATGTGTGTTGTGAATTTCTAACAGGGAAGTATGATATATCTTCTGAATAGTTTACTACAGAACTTGCTTTTTTGTGGAAAAGAGATGAGATTAATATCCTGCAGAAATTATTTTATTAAAAAACTCATAGAAGGCAGCAGAATAACTTTTGCATAGTAGAATAACTTTGGCTCTGGGCGAACAAATGAAAATAATTTCTCATTTAAAAATGTCAGTAAAGAGAAAGGAGGTAAAAATAAAAATTATAAAGAACATTCATTTAATTTACAGAGCTTATGAGTAAAAATATGAAAATGAAAATTATAAGGCTTAATATAAGTTGCTATTTCTTAAATCTGAATATATTGAAAAAAGCTGAGTCTGTGAAGTAATATTTGATACTAGAAAACCAACATGTTACTCATTTATTCAAATAGTTATCCTCATCAACCTCAGAAATGAAATACTATTTTATTCAAGGTACTCTCATAGTTAAAAACACTCAACTGTTTTTCTACTTAAAAAATACCATAATGCTTTAAGATAAATTATTCAAACTATTAGTGAAGAACAATAAAAATACATTAACCAGTAAGAAGAGATAATTATTTCTTGTGACAACCTTGGCAAAATAATTACTCTAGCCATGCTAGGCCATTTTTTTCTTAACCTCTGTGATAGATAACACTTTGTAATTTTGTTTCAACATGATAGAATAGCACATACAATTGCTTAAATTGCATTCAGAAAACTATTTGAGTCCAGCCATCCTGTGCGATGTATTATTCACACATTTTTAAACTGTAAAAATGGGAAATGCAAACTGACGATTAAATATGGCTAATATCAATGTAACAAGTTCCCTGGAGAACAAGTACAAACATTCCAACAAAATGAAGCATTACAACAGAATACTTGATATCATTTTTTAGTTATAAATTTTCTATATTCACCATCAGGAAACAGGCAACATATACAGCTAACGATTTTGTATCCTCTCTAAAGATTAGCTGTATGAACTGCATGGATTCTAAACTTTGTTAATAGAAAACTACTAAAACATAAGTTTTTATTGTAGTCTATTCAACACAAATCACATTATCCTATACTTGGTTGTCAACTACTTTGGCAAATCAACCCCAAGCTGCGTGGGCTGGTGGTAGGTATTTCTAGGGGAAAACCATCATCAATTTTATTATTAAACTTCAGTTCATAAAAAATCCTTACCTGCTACATATAACAGGTGGAGTCAGGATTTGAGGGGATAGGTCAGGGGCACTCTGAGTGTAAGTTAAGGCCCTGTGAGAACCTAGACTTTGTTTGACAGTTGTGTCGGCAGATTCTGGAAACTGCACTGCAGAAATTTTGCTGACCAGGCTGCTGGCAGGAGTCCCTTGGAGAGGTGAGGAGCAGGGTGATGAAAGAGGTGAAATTTTAGCGAGGGCACCTGAGAAAGAATGAGAGTTAAGTAACTAAACAAATGTCTTTAAGATGCAAAATTGCAACTGTTGAACTTCACCTGGACTCTTACAAACTCAGTAACAACCACGTGCCTGCTCAGGTCACTGGGCTGGCCTCCTCCACATACCAACATCTGAGGCCAGTGCGGTTGGGGTGTCTCCACAGCATTCAATGGGAGGAATGAATCATCATAAAAAAATAGTGGCAATGTTGGCACGTACAGTCAAAGCCTTGGTGTCCTGGAGTAACTTCAGGACAGGATATTATTTTCTCCTCCCATTTTTGTTTCTTCTTGTCATTCTGACATGGAAATAATAGTTAAAATTTTCTCATATGTTGATTTTCTCTTAGGCTGTGAAGGTTTTAGCAGGAACAGGATCTGCTATTGTTTTAAACATTAACCAGTATCTGGGGCAGAGTTCAGCAGGCATCAGATGCTTAAAATATGTAAGTAAAGAAGATGCATTACTGAGAGGAAATTAACCTTCTTAACAACTCGCAGTTTCAGTGAAATAAGACCTTTTGGTGTGAAAGATTGCTTTGATCGAAATAATTTTTGAAGAAAACATTTTAAAATGTAATATAATCCATTTCAGATCAAACAATAGACCTAAAGCTTCCATTTCAAGTATGGGTATTTGTGCCAAACTGTCTGTATTTACTCTAGATTGTAAGAGTTTTACAGGACACTGGCTTAGATTTCAAAGTGTGGCTGTTGGAAGACAAGGAAGATATCTTTTGAAGTTACTCTCTCCCAAACACAGAGAAGGCAGCCTGCAATTAAAATGGAAAAAAGGAGAGAAATAACTTCTGGCCAAAAACCTGCTTACTGGTTTTCATGATTTTATGGCTGAACAATGTACTGTAGGGCAAATGAAATGACATTATTAAAAGTCGTTCTCTATTTCTCACCACTTAGGAAAATTTACAGCCATCCACCTTCACATCATCAAATTATGTGTGCAGTTAGCTGGCAGTTGGCTTACAGCAAAGTTTGTTTCCAGGATGTAGCTTCCTCAAAAGTTTGATTTGTCACACCAAAGGTTTTCTGGTCCACTGAAAAGAATATTAAGTTTGTTGAGGGAGTATGTGTGTGTGTGTATAATTTTCTTTTTAATTTCTTGTTGGCACTGTGATTTATTTTTGTCGTTGTTGTTGTTAAAGATGAGAAATCTCACTCCCCCCTTGCTTCGGCGTGAAGAGCAGCACTCCCTTCTAGTTCTTTCTCAACCTATCTATTGTTAATTCCTAACCAGAAGCTCAACCCCCTCCCAGCCTTTATACTAAGCAAACAAAACCACTTAGACCCAGAGAGTGTAAAAAACCCTCCCAAGGTCACAGTACTAGTACGTGGAAGAATATAGAGCAAACCCAGCTATTCTTAGTAAAATGAGGCTTATAAGCCAGTACCTCTATCAGAGACTATCCAAGGGGGAAGTAAAATCAATGGCCTATTAGGCAGCATTTGCATTGCTCCTTATGTAATGCCTAATGGTTTTTATTTGGGTTTCTACTTCTATTAAAAAGACTCAGTTATTTTTCCAAAGATAATGACAAGCCTTCACATTACATAGTATCCTGAGCCAAAAACAAATCAAAACAAAAAATTAAGTTCACAAAGGTTTTAACTCAGAATTTCCCAGCCAATGTATGATTGTGTGCAGCAAGTGGGTTCCAAGTTTGCTGTGAATTATTTACTGGTTGAAAATATTTTTTAAAAAAGAAATATTTTATTTGGAAACTCTAGAATAAACTCAATTTTTAATATTATCTCCAATAGCTTATAATTAGTTTTTCTCATTATAATTTTATAAAATAAAGGAAATCTAGTTTTAAAACTCAAAATCCCTTCTCATTTCTCCAATGGTATGGTATTCACAAATACTATTACACATAGATGGGTGCTGTGATGTAAAGATTAAAAAGGGTTGGTCTAATTTTGACCACTTTTTGGATTTAGACTGTAACTCCAGATAATCTTAGAAAGGTACCATAGCCGTTAAGGAGCTGAATCCTAGTAAGATGTGGTAGAAAGTTTAGCAAGGTATCTGTACTGAGTATCTCAAGGATTTATTCATCCAACAAGTATTTATTGTGAGTCTTGCTCCATGGATGGAGTAGGGTACAAAATAAAATCCCTGCTCTTAATGGAGTTCCCACCTCTTTAGGGGAGACAGAAACTAAAAAAAGTCAATAAAAAAGAAAAGTTAACTTAAATTCAAATAAGAGGAAGAAAACAATGCACAGGGTAGAAGGCAGGGAAGAACATAAATGCTCTTTAGATAGGATGGACTGCGAAGGCCTTCCTGGCTGGGAAGGGGTGGGGGTGGGTAAAATTTGAAGAGAGGCCTCATGAAATACAGAAGACATTTAGAGAGAAGTAGCTGGGGAAAGCATGTTCAGGAAAGAGGGACATACCTGGGGGATGTCAGAGGAGCAGTCAGGAGGTCAGTGGTTGGCAGTTTAGCAAAAAGGAAAAAGAGGGGCAGTGAACGTGGTCAGAGAGGTTGCTGGGCAAGTCTGGATAGGGTTGGGTAGGGCCAGGGCAAAGTTTTATTAGGTTGGTGCAAAAGTAATTGTGGTTTTTGCAATGAAAAGTAATTGCAAAAACAGCAATTAAAAGTAATTGCTGTGTCATAAGAAAAAGAGATTCCTGATAGACACTGTGTTAGGCAATTCCTTAGTTGTTCTCATAGTAAACTGTGAGTTTTGGGACAGTTTTCTACGCAATTTTTTTTTTAACAGAACAATAGCTCAAAGCCCATGAGAACATTGTCCATTTCTGTCTTGACACCCTGTTTTTTCTGAAGGCAATTTATGAGAAGAGTGATTTTTTTCATTGCTAAGTTTTAGTAGCTGCCAGCTGATTGTTTCAGATACATGCAATTCACTCTCAAACACAAATTTTAAAATTCACACAACCATTAGAGTTCTTGGAACTCACAGATTAACTAAATTTAAACAAACAAGCAGATTTTAAGACATCAAATTTACTGCCTGGGATGAAATTTAAAATAAACTTGTAATAGAGAAGCTCTGCTTCTGTAGTATTAGTCTACATATTTTGAACACTTTTAAAAGCATAACTCGGCTAGGCGTGGTGGCTCATGCCTGTAATCCCAGCACTTTGGGAGACCGAGGAGGGGGGATCACCTGGGATCAGGAGTTCGAGACCAGCCTGGTCAACATGATGATACCCCATCTCTACTAAAAATACAAAAATTAGCCTGATATGGTGGCACATGGCTGTAATCTCAGCTACTCTGGAGGCTGAGGCAGGAGAATCACTTGAACCCGGGAGGTGGAGGTTGCAGTGAGCTGAGATCACGCCACAGCTGCACTTCAGCCTGGGCGACAGAGCAAGAATCCGTCTCACAAAATTAAAAAAAAAAAAAAAAGGGTAACTCTTGGCAACACTCATGAGAAGCAGGGATATTTCTATTCTGCAGGTGAGAAGCTAAAGTTATAAAAGTGTAAGTTCTCTTTTTTTCCCAAAGCCAAACTACTATTTTTCCCAGTGTGCATTATCATAGTTTACTTAAAGTTTAAAAACAGAAAGAATTAGGATGTACATGCATGTTTTGAAGACCGTATCGGTCTTCAAAAAGATAGGGAGATAAACGCAGATAATAACCAAATTTTCTTTATAGAAAGGATAAACTATAAATAAATGATTTCAGATACAGGAAGAGGACAATCTAAGGAACTGGGAGGAATAACCTTTGGAAGTCTTCAAAAACAAATTTTCTAAAATGCTTTCAATGTAATCATGTCTAAAGTTAGAGGGATGACTGTTAGAACCTTTGAAAATCTCATCTAATTTTACATCGCACACTCACACATTTACACACTCACACATGACTGAAGAGATTCAGATAAACATGCATTCTCTCAAATATATTAATGTTTATCTTCACTTTATATTTGAGTAATTTTAGCAGATTCCAGGAAGAAGACATAGCTCATGAAACATAAATTTTTGAATGATTCAAACTGTCCTAATGTGAAATACTTAAAATCAAAACACTTAAAAACGAAAAATTAAAAATATAATTTTAAAAATAAAGTCTAAAATGCCAACTCCTTTGAGTAATTCGGCCTTTAATTCCTTGTTCCTGAGAGCATGAGAAAATGTGTGTCAGGACACAAGGAATTTTGGGCAATCAAAGAGAGAAAATAAACAATACTGCAGGGGAATTATTTAAGTGAATCCATCTGTTTTGTGCTATAAAACTCTCTCAGTTTAATTTTAATGGAACAAAAAAGGAACCAGCTTGTCTGATAAAGACATCTTTTTTTTCCATGCCCAGATGAAAATGGACAGCCTGAATATTTTTTCCAAAGCAGAAATTGCATCTAAAGAGAATACCAAAGAAAAAGAATCAGAATACCATAATCAAAGTTCTCTATATTTTCAAATTTTGTATAAGAAAAACAGTCTAGATTATAGGTGTAGAGATATCTGTTATCACTGCAATCGGCAGCCAAACTTACAAGAATCCGGGAAAGGACTACTGCAAATACAGTAACTATAAATTCAAGGAATTTTTAAAGCAGAATGGTATCATGGTAGCTCCATAATGTCAGTGACTCATACTAGAGGAGCAAAATTGAAAATACAAATTATATTTGAATCTCCTGCTTTTAAGCTTCAATTAAAGGAGTCCTATGTGATTTCATTCATTTATTTTATATTAGTAACTGCATAATAATTTGTGTTTCAGTTATTTAAAATTAACATTGATTGACTGAACTAAAGGACACTCTGTTTACCTGATTTGCGCAAAGAACAGATTTCATTAGCCCTCTCTGGAAACAGGGTATTTCTCTTTCTGTATGTCTCTTCTTACTTCACACTCGCTTTCTCTCCACCTCATTGCCTATTGCTCTTACGTGTTTCCTCAGACTGTCTTCACATTTCATTTGATTCCATTTGCTTACACTCTTTGCCACGAGGGGGCTCTTCCCAGCTTCTTTCCATGGAGTTTACAGAAAACCAGGATGCATCACAGTCAACTGCATCAAACATGTCACAACTACTTAGCTCCATCCACAACCCAAACAGGGAAGCAAGGATTTTAAAGCAGAAGGGCCTATCTGATTAGGATAGAGTTGTAATCTCTTTTTGGCTCTCTGATTCTTGATAGATGTTTTTGTCTCTTTTGGCAGACCTTTAGGAATTTAATCAGTTAGATTCAGCATGCCTGGGATATAGGTTATTTTATAAACTTTTAGCTGTGCTGTGACAGCTGTCTAAAGATGCCACAATGCAAAATCCACTCCAAAATGATCATGATGGAAATGTCTTATGCACTTGATGGCAAGAATGGAAGGGCACTCTTGCTATGGCTGTGGCTCTCATTCCTACCACCTGCCCATGTGGTATCTTATGTGAACATTCCTTTCCTTTTACACTTTGCTCTTTCTTCTAAAGTGCAGTCATACCAACTGGGGATCAGGACACAGGAATATGAGGCTGTTGCATCATTTGCTCTGTTATTTCCAGTGTCTGCCTAATCATAACTTTCAGCTTCTTGATCTTATCATGTTGGTTATTCAATAATTTTTATGTTATTACTAAACCAAAGAAACAGGGAGAGAAAACCAAATCCTTCTATTATCTTACACCTACCCAAAGTCAGAACCAAAAAAAATCCTAACCTTAAATTATGACAATTTGTCATCCTCATTTGTTTCTAGTATGAAGTCATTAGGACAAAAGAAAGTATTCGGATTCATTGTATGACCTAGAGAAAGCAAATTACTTAACCTTCTTGTTCCTCAGTTTTCTCATGTGAACCCCCTTTCTGAGCTACTCATAGATTTAGAACACTTAAATTTATATTTCATCTCTTGAATTACATATTATTACTGTCTGAAATTTTAGTTCTGTCCTTAAAAAATCTTATAAAAACTATTCACAAATCTGGAAATACTATTATTTATGAATTTAATGTTTGTTTGGATTGACTCATGGTTTTCAGATTTGTTTAACATTTTTATTAGATCCCAAACTTTCTCTTCTTCCGCTTCTTTCTAGAATATATCCATCATAAATTCCTTTAGTAAAGATTTGGCAGATCGTAAAGTTTAGACTTCTTTCAAATTGTCTTTAGTTCGCTCCTATTCTTGTAAGATGAAACTGCCAGGCACAAAACTTTAGGTTATCATATTGTTTCAGAGCTTTGAAGAAAATATTCTACTGTGTTCTGACTCCTAGTATTTCTGACAGTTCTGCTCTCAGCCTGACCGCCTTTCCTGAAAAGGAAATTTGTCTTTTCTCTGGTAGACTTTAGGATTTTTGTGTGTGTGTATCTTTGGTGTTGTGTAGTTTCACTATTTTGTATCTACGTGTGAGTTTCTTTCCATTTACTAGGCTTCTCCTGAGTATTTTTTGTCTTCTATTTGATACTAAAACTCTGATTACACATATCATGTATATTAGACTCTCTAATTTTTCTGTATCTCCTAAAATCTATTATATTCTCCAATTTTTCATCTGTATTGCTTTCTGGATAACTTCTTCAGATCATTCTCTACCCAGTTTACTAATTCAGTAGTCTACTATGCTATTTAATATTTCCTTGACTACATTTCCAAAAGTTATATTTAGCTGCTCTGCAGTTACGTCTTTTCTCATTGCTATTATTTTTCCTTAAATATGTAAATTTTTGAATTAAATTTTAATTTAAATATTTCATCCTTTTACAGATCTAGAAAGTTGTATTTTTGTTTCTGTTAACTCAAACTCATGGTGTTTCTTTGTGCAATTAGTGATCCTGGTTGTAAGCTCTATGTTTGAATCTGATCTGATAAAATCTCATGGCCCTTAACTGGTGATGCTTCCCTTCCAAAAGTATCTGTATATATTTTTGTAGGGAGCCAAGGGGCCTTACATACCTAAAACCACTTTAGCGCTCCTTTAAGACTCTTGGGTTTAATGTGGAATTCTCAAATGCAGTTTCTCCACCTTGTTGGAGTCCCAGATGATTCTTCTTAGTACTGAGCTAATCCGCATTTGCCTTCAGGAATATCTCAATTTAAAAGTATTTGCCTACATTATCCTACATTGCCTGGCCCTGGTGAAAGCTCAATTTTATTAGCAGGTCATTAATAACTTCTAAGTGGCAAAATTTAATGAACATTTCTAAAGAGCAGAGAGGACCAGATTAGTTGTTGGAAAAGTAGACTAGCTTAATGATCTCTTTTACTGATGTAATTCCAATAAAATGATACAAAAAAGTTATCGAGGCAGAGCACACAATGCTGAGGGACTTGATTCCCATAAAGAGGAGAACCTCAGAAAGGTGAGCCCAAATCTTGTAAACTGTTCTTCCCTTCATAGCACGATTTACTGACTATTGGCATGGAGTAAGAAGTGAAGGATCCAGACAGAGGGGTGCAGCTATTCGGGAGGCAAGCCAGCAGAGCTTTTAGCAATGTCATGAGGCTGATGACATAAAAATTGGAGTTTGGGGTTGCCATGGCAGCCAGAACTTGAATGTTTCATATCTCAGTGGGAAGTGGGCAGTTTTCCTTTTAACCATTTGATGAACTCTTAAACTGCTAAAGGCAGTAGATTAAGAAACTAAGGAAGTTACTGAAAATCTCATTGATATTTTCTAATACTGAGAAGTGAAACCGTGATTCCAAAAAGGAAAGGTCACAGGAAACATCCCAGATTCTTAATTGGGCTTCTAGGGGAAAGGCAATTCAGAGACAGAATCTCACAAAAACTCCTATTACAGGTTTGGGTGAGCAAGAACCCTGAACAAATGAGGTAGTCTTCCCCAATATCATTTCATGTTCCTATCTAAAGCTTTATTATTCTTAATTTTGATATCTCAATTCCTTATCAGAGTTCATGTGTAGTAAATGAAACACTTCCTTAAAGTCATATATCATACTCCTGAAAAACAATTTTAATAGACACTAAAAAATTGGAATTTCTATCATGAGATGATGCTACCAGAGATGATCCTTGATGGTAAAAGTGATTTCCTGTGCATCTAATTAGTTCAAGATAGGAAATCTGATACAACAACTTTGAAGGAATCTGTATCACATAAGGTAGAAATTTAAATAATTGGTTATTGAGGCTTTAAAAAAATAACTATTTGGTTATTAGAACAGACAAACCAAACATAACTGAATACAGGGCACCCTCAGAATATTTCAACACTTAAGGTCTGGTTTGCTCTATGACTCCACACTTACAGTATGAACCCTTTTCCAGTTAAGTTACTTACCTGGTCGACTTTGCTTTTTAGCCTTTACATGGTTAGCTGCAGAAATAGCATAGGATGAAGTAAAGGATCTGCTTTTGGTGAGGGTCATCATCACTGGATTATTCCAAGAATCAGGACTAACAGCACCGACAAGAGAGAATTAAAAGAAAATAAAAGAAATTATTCATCAGTTATTGGGCCAGTCTTGCCAAAACCCAACCATCATTTCTGTAATAGATTTTCCAATCTGAGTATTGGTTCAGGTTCAGTGACAGAACCACTGTACTTCTCAGTGATGAAACAGATTATGTAAAAACAATCTCTGTTGCAGGGATATAGCAGTTACTCATCAACCATACTGGGTTAACAAAGAGGAAAGATAACCTCTTATTATCCAATTAATAAAAATTAAACACCTTCTGACTGTACTCTAAAATTGCATTCCTCACAGATTTTCTAAAAGAGGCTTGCAGATTAACTGGTTAAGATGCAGGTGAATTTACATAAACTGTAAATGTCATAATGCTTACTTCAGTACTCTATTATTTTTGGTGGATTTGTATTCAAAAACTGAATGACCATGAAATCATTCAAAAATAATTTTTTTTGCATTATTTCCTTGTGACGGAAATGATTAGCAGCAGGCCTTTAGCTTACGATTTCTCTTTACTGGTGATAACCTAGGAAAAAAGTGATTATCTAGTCAAATTCCCTTGTAAAAAGGGAATTTGTAAAAAGGGACATGCCAACAATGGAGCTGATGCTAACCATACTGATGATACGTACTAGGTGAAAGGTAATGCAGAATCTTCATCTAGCAAATGCTTTTACCAGGATGTACTTGGTCTGCCTAGGTTGCTTATTGTAAATAAATGTGGAATTAATAGATTCATGGAAAACTGAGCTAGAGAATGTTATGTAAGTCATGCAATTCATGGGCTATAAATTTTGGAGGTATTCCAAGACAAAATTTCTCTGTATGTGTTGCTCAAAATTTATACACGTTGAATCTGAAATAGACTCCATCCTAACTTGGGAGAGAAGGGAATTTCCAAAGTCGTGTTGGCAATCTTGGACTGCTCCAAGGGAAAAGTGCTTGGTCTATGTTTGCTAACACCTGTGTCCTTTCAAGCACTAGTAAATTTGGTACTGGGTACAATCTATAATTTACATAAATATAATTTGACAATTTGATCTTTTGCCAATCTTAGATTGGCAATGTAACCAAGATGTGCCTGGTCTGTCTGGGTGGCTTATCGTAAAACACCTAAAATCCATAGAATTATGGGCTCACGGATGCATGGAGATTGCCATATAAGTTTATAATTAATACGGGAGAATTTGGAGAGGTTCCAGAGCTGAAATGGTTCCCTCTGTGCAAGTAATACTATGCATGCATTGCTTAGAACCCTGACTGCTAAATCCAAACCAGAACATGTGCTAATGTGGAATAAAGGGACTTTCAGAAAATTGCACTAATAGACCTCTCAAAGGAAAGCATGCTAAGCATGAGTCTTACTATTGTCTGTATCCTTTGATTACTAGTAAATTCAGCAATGGGTAAGATCTGTAATTTATGTTGAGGTCAGTTTGACACTCTGACACTTCTTATCTCAATTTTTTTTTTTTTTTTCCATTTCAGAGAGATTTTTTCTTCAACTATTGACCCAAGTATTTTAAAACTTCATCTTTTCTCCCCACTTCTAATAGCAGTTTTCCATATATGAGGACATTTGAAATGTGGTATGACCTTCAGCAATTATAAAATGCAATTAAGTAAGGCATAAAAATATTTGTTTGACATCCTTCTCAGAAAGCACATCCTACGTATTTCACAAGTTCTTCGTAGTTAGGAAATAATGAGATGAAAGAAACTTTGGATCTGAAACAGATTACAACACTGACTATTTTCTGGTGGTGCTGGTCCCTTTTAATTTATTTTGCTGGATTGACTGACTGATTACTGTGAACAAGTATTATATAATGTATATGTGGCCTAACTGTTTGCAGTTCTCATTACATAATACAGTGAATAGGTTATTACTTTTACTTTTCTAAGTAGACTTTTTAAAGACAATGCCTTACAGTAACTGAATGTTTTAATATATCAGAAAGATATATTATGAAGGCTATCTCAACAATTTACTATTTTTTCAAATAAAAATATTTAAAATGTGTTCATTTTAAAGTTTGCAAAATACATTAGAGTATCCTTAATAAATGCAGATTTAATGAACTCAAGATAAATAACATCCTAGTCATATCACATTCTTAATACAATAATTGTATTTTACTATTAATACAATAAATCAATGTATTATATTAAACATAAATGCATTATAGTTTACAGGTGCTTTCATATATTGCTTTGTGAGACCCTTACAGTTTTCAGTTTTTCATCGTTGTTCTTTATTTCCGGATTCCTGTTTAAATTTCATGAATATGAAATATTTGGATTCTGTAAAGGAGAACAGCTTAGGAAAGGCTTTACATGGTTTCCTCATGCTGGCACAGCAGAGGAAAATTATCTATGTGCCTGTGATGGAAGATCTCAATCTTCTTCCCAAAGGTGGTCTTATGCTCTTGTTATCCCCATAATGACTCCATTCTAAGTCCCTAAAGTCTGATCAGGTAACTGTCTCTTTTGCCAAGTTTACTGCTTTCTTTTTGCCTGAATATACAGGCAGGGGTCAATTCCAAGGTCAACTTGGAATGATTTAGGCTCTGATGTATTTCAGCTTTTTCTATTTCTCTAAAGCCTATTTTTTAAAGCACCTACTTGTATTCTTCCATCTAATTTACTCCTCCAATTATGTCCAAGCTCCCCTTTTTCCTAATGACTCCTTGTAATTGGGTACAGAGACTCTGGCAGCCTAATGACTTGCCTCTAAGAACACAGTACATTTCTAAGTAGTAGGGCCAAGACCCTTCCGATTCTCAGTCCTGTGTGCTTTCTACCAGACTGTATTTAAAATTACCCAGAGTAAATTATCCAGCTGTATATATAAAGGAATATAAGTTGTGTTCCTAATTTTTATTTCTCACTCTTATTCTTCTTTTAGAATAAGAGACCCAATAAATGAACAGATACAGGAAGGAATAAATAAAAGGGCTAAAAGGGAAGAAATTTCAGGGCTAAAACTCAAAAGAAGGTTTTAACTTGATTTATGATCAAGCCAAAACTAGCTGTATTTAGTGGTGGTACTACTGCCACTTACTTAAAAATGGTTTTTCCTTAAAGGGATCAAATTCTATTCAGAATGAATTTCCTTTCTTCACAATGATGAAGAAATTATATTGCTTTCAGATTTTACATCAGTACTTTTCACAGGACAGTGAGATTATGAGATAGTATATCAGGCAGTGAGGAAAACGTATACCCAGGCAAGACATCTATGAGTATTTTTAGGAATGAGAGAATGAGAATGAATGGAATCATATGCTACTCCTTATCTCTATTGTAAATATTTGGATGTATCCATTTTACAAAGAAGAATGACAAGATCCTCGGGCGTTAAGTTCTTAAAAGTTCTTGGAACTTTTTTCCTTGTCATGATTTCAATTTAAACCCTCAAGTTCATCTAATTGACTAAGAGAAGAGAAAAGCAGGGGAAATAAGATTTGACTAGAAGTAACAAAGAATAACAGAAACAAAGACATTTGACAAGGCATGAGTGGATTTTTGATAGTCATTCTATGGGAAGGAAATCATGAAGCACTACCTATGCTATGACAGGAAACAGCAAGGTGCATTGGCAAAATAGGTAGACTCTAATGATACACACTGAAAATGTAATTCATTTTATTAAGCAATAGTTAACAGTAATACTATTAACATTTATCAGTATTTGCTGCTGTAGCAATTGTCAATGATCAATATTTTTAGAGAAAAATATTACCATTGACTTCTAATTTCAAATTTCAAGAAATTTTCATGAAACACTGCATAATCTCTTCTTGTGTTTACAAGTTTTACAAAAGTCCAGGTAATAGGATGGAGTGGAATTTTACTGACATATAAAATACATAATGACATTTGAGTTTGCTTCCAATTCTTTTTTTTTTTTTTTTTTGAGATGGAGTCTTGCTGTGTTGCCCAGGCTGGAGTGCAGTGGTGCGATCTGGGCTCACTGCAAGCTCCACCTCCCAGGTTCGTGCCATTCTCCTGCCTCAGTCTCCCAAGTAGCTGGGACTACAGGTGCCCGCCACCACGCTTGGCTAATTTTTGTATTTTTAGTAGAGATGGAGTTTCACCGTGTTGGCCAGGATGGTCTTGATCTCCTGACCCCGTGATCCGCCCACCTCGGCCTCCCAAAGGGCTAGGATTACAGGCGTGAACCACCAAGCCCGGCCGAGTTTGCTTCCAATTCTAGAGATTTTTTAGAATACAAATAATATGGAAGAAACCAATTAAAAAATTTTAATCAAAAAAGAGAAGTCAGCAGTCATTAAATTCTTATAATCTGAAATATTTCTATTAGTTTCAGTATGGTGGTTTATTTATATCCCAGACTAAGGATCAGGAGAAAATTACTTCTGATATTGCTATCATGTAATACGACATAAATGTGGATATTTTTCATTCATTAGGTTATTGATAAAACTGATATATGTGCTTTAAAAACCTGAAATCATATGGTAAATGGTCTCACAATTAATGGATTTGAATAAAGTATGGTAAGTACAATATTTTTATTCTAAATAGAAAAGGACACAGTATCTCCTTCTAAATGCACTTTCCTTAGCTATTTTCTTCAAAATTCTTTTTACATGTTAATATAACCTTTTCTTTAGTTTTGGTAATTCTGGCTTTTAAGTTGCTTTGAAAAATTGGAGTTAATATCCTCAGAAAAGTTTAAATTACCAAATGTTTGCACTTATCTAGGTGTTCTTAGGATGATCTGCTTTTGATTTGCTCTTTTGTCTTTTGTACAAAGCTAAGACAGCTGGTCTTGGGGGAGGCTAGTGACTGGGCTAGGGGCATCTCATATCAATTGCAAATGTCAAGTTAGACACTTTTGATTTAAGGATCCCAGTATGAATCTCAATGTAGATAAAATTACCTACCTTTGCCCTGGAGCTTAACCCTTCCCCTCTAAGGTCACAATGGCAGAGATCACATCAGGTCATGCTTTCCACTTATATTTAGGGTCACACAACAGATGTTAAACCTAATTATCTGATGTTAACCCCTATACTGCTCTGCATTTAAACCATGTACCCTTTCCATATTCAAAGCTGACCTCCAACCAAATGTAATGGGTTAGCCTTCCTTCTATTGTAATTTACAACTCATTTTTGGTAAGTAACTTCTCTAAGAGACATTAAACCAGCAGGAGCCGTATGCCACCTGGATGAAGGTGCTTCCTGCAGTTTGATGCTGGTGCTGCGGTCTCTCCGTACTGGTGCAGGCTCCAAGGTAGGTAGACCTGTGGCCGAGGTGGTGGTGGTCCAAGTGGAAGAAACTCGTCTCAACAAGCCAGGGGGCAAACTCCTTCTCAGGCGCTAGGAAAGAGACTTGACTTCATTACCAAGCATATTTTATATCTCTTAAATTTTATGTAATATAATAGAAGGAAATGAGCTTTTCATTAGAAGTGAATTGACTAAATTATATTGGTTGAATATCACCTATCTAAAATTTGAGTGCTCAGAAATGTAATAAAAGATTATCTGGCCAAAATGAACGCATATTATAAAAATCAGCAGCCAGGCGCAGTGGCTCACGCCTGTAATCCCAACTCTTTGGGAGGCCAAGGTGGGTGGATCATCTGAGGTCAGGAGTTTGAGACCAGCTTGAACAACATGGCGAAACCCCATCTACCAAAAATACAAAAATTAGCTTGGCATGGTAGTGGGTGCCTGTAATCTCAGTTGCTCAGGAGGCTGAGGCAGGAGAATCGCTTGAGCCTGGGAGGCGGAGGTTGCAGTGAGTCGAGATCATACCACTGCACTCCAGCCTGGGTGACAAGAGCAAAACTCTGTCTAAAACAAAAATAATAAATAAATAAATAAATAAATAAATAACCTTTTAGGGTCTTTATTTCAATGCATATACAAATATGTGATTATAGGAGTGAGTCAATTACCTCTGGGATAATTTTATAGTTATATTTATTCAACAGGATTTACAAACCTATACACACATATTAGTTATTATGAGAAGTTTTTCCTCAAAGGTCACTTGCTTGGGAGCATGAATTAATTTATATCAGCTGGCACCACAGTCTATACCCCCAAGTATTATTGACTTTATTATCTTCATTTACAAACAAAAGGAGCTCAGTGTAAGAATGTAAGTCTTTCACAAAATGCACCACTTCTCTTATCATTAATGTAACTTAGACATCAGAGATATGGGTAATGTCATCAGTGTCAACTCCTCTTAATAGGAGACCCTGCTGGCCAACCTGCTGTTCCCCTTCTTATTTCTTCTCCCACCATATCCTAAACAGGACATGTAGCGTCATCTGCACTGAGACAAGAGTCTGGGATCACTAGGATAAGCACCAACCCTCTAAAGTGAGTCTTGACCTTAAAAGTTAAACTAGGGGGTGCGGTGGCTCATGCCTGTAATCCCATGTAAACCTCAGCTACTTTGGGAGGCCGAGGCGGGTGGATCACTTGAGGTCAGGAGTTTGAGACCAGCCTGGCCAACTTGCAGTGAGCCAAAATCGTGCCACTGCACTCTAGTCTGAGCAACAGAGTGAGACTCCATCTAAAAATTAAAAAAAAAAAAAAAAAAAGTTAAACTGAAGGTCTTTTTTCTATAACTTCAGTAACAGTCATAATAGACAGAACCACAACCCACTTTTGTTTGTGGCTAATCACTCCTGATAAACCTACCACACAGGCATAGTTCACAAAGACATTCTGCTCTTCCGAAGAAGGTAAAAAATTTTGAGAAATGAATTATATGTCAACTTGGGATTTAAGAATAGCTCTGACATTAAATAGTTTCCAGTGTCTCTTAAACATCTGAATGTGCATCTTAGAAGGTAATTCAGTTGGAAGAGAAAAAGTCAAACACTCTTAAATACCAGGTTTCTTGCCTTAAATCTGTCTTTGACCTCAGGTCTATTTTGAGACCTGAAGGAACCAGTTAATCTCTCTCTCCATTTCCTTACTGTCATATTATACTTAGGTATATCTTTCTTAGGGAATTGCATATTGGAAGGAAACTATGTAAATATGTTATTGACAAAGTTATGAAGATCACATTCCTGAGAGAAGAGACACACAACAGCAGAAGCACAGGTGTTACTGACTGACCACCAGCTCCAAGGGATAGCTGACTGTCCACTAAATAAGTAACTGTGCTGAATATACCAGAGACCACTGACACTCTGATTTTCTTGTCTTTAATATGCCTTATTTTTAATTAATATTGAGATCTAAACTGGGTGAGGATCCTCTTATAATTGACTTTCATAAAACTCATACCATATATGTAAAAAGAATAAATTTGTGTAATTTCTTCCTTTTACATATAAAATATATGTTTATAGAAATCACTAAGGACATATTTCACTTTAAATAATCTATAATTGACTAAAACTGTTCTGGGTTCAAAACTGATTGTGTATTGGAAAGTCAGGAGGGCATTTTGAAGTATATCATTCAAGAAAATCGAAGAGTAAAGAACCTTCAGTTTTAGGAGTCAACGAATTTTAAACAGAATCTGCACTAGAAAGGAGCAAGGATTTCTGTCTTTTTTTGTTTTGTTGTTGTTGTTGCAATATCCTTATCACCTTAGAAAAGCATCTGGCATATAGAAGAAAAAACTTCTTGCATGTAACATGAAAGATTAAATAAAAGAGGTAACATAAAAAGATAAATTTTCTATGTATAGAAAACTATCAAGTATAAGGACAGAAGTCTTTATGTTTAAATATTTATCACTTTTGTCACCATGATCAACACATTTTGCCTGAGTCATTGATATTAATCTGCAGATGGAGTTGAGGTGACAGGAAGGAGGCCTAGAAGACAATTTAAAAAAAAAATAGTTTAACCCTTTAAGGAGTCGGTCATTACTACCTACCTTTGGAATAGCAAGCTTGTCTTTTTCAGAGCTCTCTTCAGAGTCCGAACAGGTATAGTTTTCACTGAGCGAAGTGACGGGATTCACTCTGGGCTTGTGAATGGCCTGGAAGGTGAGCTGTGTGCTGAGCAAGTTGCTCACGGCTCTCAAGGATGTGCACACGTTTGGTGGAAGAGAAGGGTCTGCCAGGAGGTCGGTAATGAGGCCGTGGGCCTCGCCCATGACGGCGATGTCCACAGTAATACTGGTTCCTGAAGACTGGAACACAAACCAAGACAAGATCAGGTAAGAAAAGGTCTGAATCGGAAGGCACAAAGCATTAATTTGAACTTTTTCACTAAGAAATGAATGGGATGATTCTTTAGGATTTCAGTACAGTAAAATTCACATCACCTATTTCAAATTCTACTAAAATATGCCCTAGCAGTCATCCTTTTTTGCATTTGCAGCACATTTTTTAATGCTAGAACTCGGGGAGGGGTCAAGCATATTTGAAGAAATTAAAAAGATGAACACTACTTTTAAAAGCCAAAAAGTTTCAGAGATCTGGGGGGAAAAAACTTCATATCACTCCTTATGAAGAGCTCAACATTTTACATGTATGTTCTTTAGGAATTTCACTCCAAAAGCAACATGAATATACCTACCATAAAATGTTATTTTTAATAATATTTTAATGTGACACTTGAACCTGATGTTTATTCAATGAATATTTTTGCTAATGGTAGTTATTCAACGAATGTTGTTAGAGATAGACACACAAAAAACTCCATTTGTGTGCTAGTTCACAATCTGTCTCTCTTCTTGTTGTTGGTAAGAACAGAAATTTCAGTTCTGGGATTCTGTGGCACATCTGTCATATTCTGCCAAACTGCCTATCAGAGCAGAGTCATTACTCTGTCCTCACAGCAGAAACGAAGAGCACAAAACACAGAGGCCAGGAAAATACATATAAATACATAAAATAAACTCCAAAGAGAGAAAAAACAGAAGTATAAAGTTGTACGATTAAAAGAAAATATGAGGGACTATTTTATAATCTTGAAATTACAACATTTAAAAATAATATGAATTCATAAACTGTCAAAGATATTCCTAATGTATCTGACTAAATGAAGATATAAAGTTCTACATAAGAAAATATACCATAAGCAAAGGAAGAAATGGTCTGTGAGAAAATGTTTGCCACACAGAGAAGATAAAACATATCCAAATATAGAGCTTCTAAAATCAATACAGGATAAAATTGAAAAAGGAAGTGAATAGACAATTCAAACGAAATGTAAATAACCAATATATATAAAAAGCCTCTTATGTCCCCATAATTAAACTGCAAATCAACATAATAAAAACAACTTTCACTTACCAAATTGGCAAAACAGTAAAAGATTTATAACACCAAGCATTAGTAACGGTTTGCATAAATGAGTAGTGAGGAAAAACAATCCAAAATGTTTGGCAGGAAACTTTGCTAAGCCTATCAATTTGTAGCTTAAATGTGTGTATCCTATGATCCAGCGAAACAACATACACATCTGGTCAAAAGAAATACTTCTACAAATATCTAAACATATAAAAACAATAACACAATGGGTATAGCAGTGCTCTGGCAACGACAACCAAAGAATGTAACCCCAAGATGCATATAAGTAGATAAATTGATCTTTTAAAATTGTCATTATATCTGTATTATAAAGTTGTATATCTTTGTTTAAAAGATGTGGGTAGATTCATAAATTATTGTCTAGAAAATATTGTTCAGTGGGTGGAAAAGTATGTTGTAGAAAAAGTGAATATATATTATTCTTGTAATTAGAAAAGTATCATAATTATAAGACCTAACATCCATAAAGATATCTAGTCTTGCAATACCTATAAGTAATGAATAAATGACTCTGTAAAATTCTCATACAGAAAAGTTATGTCTTTTACTGCTAAAATTACAATAACTATAATAATAATGGTAAAGTTGACATTTATTACCCACAAGTCTACAAAGTATTAATAGGTACTATAATTACTTTCACTTTCATTAGACACAAATAATTTGCCAAAATCAGACAGGTTGAAAGTGGAAATATCAGGCTGCAATCAAAAATAGCTTGATTCCACAGCTCCAGAGTTGAACCAGCATGGTGGGAAAAAAAAAACAAAAAAACCAAACAAAACAACAACAACAAAAAAAAACCCAGAAAATCTTAATTTTATGTGCTTAAATATGTCTGTAATTACTTAATGCATAATTTAATAATAGTGCCCATGTTCTCTGATCACAGGCATAAAAATCTCTTATGAACCATTATGAAAATTTAAGTGAAATATTAATAATTTTAGGATATATAGTCATGCATATGTCATATTTGTGCCTGCAGGGTTAATTTTATTTTTCTGAGCTAAAAGGAGAATTTTACTTTCCTTATCTTAAAAATAACTTGTATTGTGTATCCTTGAGGCTTACAACATGATGGTATGTGATGTATACAGATAGTCCAATGGTTACTATAGCGAGACCGATTAACATACCCAGCATCTCACATAGTATTTTTGTGACAAGAGCAGCTGAAATCTCCTTATTAAAAAGAATCTGTAATACAATACAATTTTGTTAACTGTAGTCCTCGTGTACATTAGATTCCCTAGACTTACTCATCCTATACATCTGCTACTTCGTATCCTTTGTCCTACATCTCCCCATTTCCTGCCCCTTCCCCTGACTCTGCCCACGGTAACCACTGTTTTATTCTCTCTCTCTGAATATTTGACCTTTTTTTTTTTTTTTTTAAAATTAAGATTCTACATGTAGGTGAGATCATGTAATATTTTTCTGTGTCTGGTTCATCTTACTTAGCATAATGTCCTTTAGGTTCATCTATGTTATGGCAAATGGCAGGATCTCCTTCCTTTTTAAAGGGTGAATGATATCCCATTGTATGTATATACATGTGTGTGCCTATAGACATACCACGTTTTCTTCATCCATTCATTCATGGACGGATGCTTATGGTATTTCCATATCTTGGCTATTGTGAATAATGCAATGGACACGAGGGTGCAGATATCTTTATGAGGTGGTGATTTTATCTTATTTGGATCATATAGTTCTATTTTCAATTTTCTTAAGAACCGTTATACTATTTTCCATAACGGCTATACCCATGTACATTTCTTACAGCAGTGTTCTAGGGTTCCGTTTTCTCCACACTCTTGCCAACATTTGTTATATCTTGTCTTTTTGATAAGAGGAGTGAAGTGATATCTTACAGTGGTTTTAGTTTCCATTTCCTGATGCTTAGTGATGTTAAACACTTTTCCATACATATATGTCGGCCACTTTCATGTCTTCTTTGGAGAAATGTCTGTTCATGTCCTTTGCCCACTTTTTAATCAGGTTGTTTTCTCCCTATTGTGTTATAAGAGTTATTTATAAAGTTTGGATATTAATTCCTTATCAGATATATGCTTTGCACATATTTTTTCCCAGTCTATCAGTTGCCTTTTCATTTTGTTGATTGTTTCCGTTCCTGTGCGGAAGCTTTTTAGTTTGATGTGGTCCCATGCACTTATTTTATCTCTTTTGGCCTGGGATTTTGGTGTGTTATCCAAAAAATCATTGCCAAGGTCAAGGTCCAAGAGCTTTCCCCCTATGTTCTCTTCTAGAAGTTTCATGGTTTCAGGTGTTACATTTCGGTCTTTACCTATTTTGAGTTGATTTTTGTGTGTGGTGTAAGATAAACATACGATTTCATTCTTTTGCATGTAGAAATCCAACTGTCTCAGCACCTTTTTCGAAGAGATTACTCTTTCCACCTGTCTCCTCCTAGCACTCTTGTGTAAAATTACTTGAGCATGTATGTTTGAATTTACTTCTGGGCTCTCTATTCTGTTCTATTGGTGTAGGTTTCTGTTGTTAGGCCAGTAGCATACTATTTTGATTACTATAGATTTGTAATATAGTTTTAAATCAGAAAGTGTAATGCCTTCTACCATTTTCCCCTCAGTACTGCTTTGGCTATTTGGGTTTTTTTTGTGGTTTCATACAAATTTTATGATTATATTTTTCTATTTCGTGAAGATGCCACTGGGATGTTGATAGTTATTGCATTAAATTTCTGTATTTCTTTGGGTAGTATAAATATTTTAACAATACTTCTGATCGAGTAATGGAATATTTTTTTTTTTTTTTTTTTTTTCATTTTTTTCATCAATGTTTTACAATTTTCAGTGTACAAATCTTTCACCTCCGTGGTTAAATTTATCCCTAAGTATTTTTTACGCTATTGTAAATGGGAGTGGTTTTTAAATTCTTTTTCAGCTAGGTACTTATTTGTATATAAAAAATGTTATTGATTTTTATCTGTTGATTTTTAATCCTGTAACTTTGCTGAATTCATTTGTTAGCTCTAACAAATTTTGTGTGTGTGTGGAATCGTTGTGGTTTTCTACATATAAAGATCATGTCATCTGCAAATAGAAATAATATCATTATTCAATTTTTTAATGTTTGTAAAAATGCTACTGACCTAACATCCCTTTTCGAAGTAAGTATTTTAAAGTGCATCTCTAATCATTATGCTTCTGAAAATCTCATCCAGTGTGGTCCTCTGAAATAGTAATGTTTATTTTTGGCCATGTTGTTCTAATAAATAATTCACTGCACTGTTTCCATACAAATTTGAAATTTTAAGTCAAACTTTGTTTTCAAGACATAAATGTTTTTGACAATGAAATTAAGTTCATTCTCTAGTAATAACTAAAAAGTTCTCTTAAAATGTTCTCAGTACATAAAATCTGTAAGTCTGAAGAAAAAGTAGAACATGTTCATGAGAATTACATGTTTTAAATAAAATACTGGGAAGAACACAAGTCTTTTTATAACTATCAAATTGTGTGTCTTTTATAATACATTTTATTTTTTCTTTAAAGTAATAGATGTATGTCTTGTATATACAGAAAAAAATAGTAAAAATTTAAAAAGTAACTTTAAAATAGAAACTGAAAACTCATCTTTATAAGTCAATGTCACAGTTATATAAGAATTTAGAAAATAAGCACATTATGTATTTTGATGCTACTATGCTACAGCTTTTGCAAAAGCAAAGGTCTTTAATTAAGGGAAAACAAAAGCAACATTCAAGCCAAGAGACAAATTATCCGTATTGAAATTGGCTAAGAAACTGAAGTGAACACTTCTACTATTGGAAAAAAAAAAATCTCCTCAGTATCATTAAGTCAGGTCCTCGCTTTACTGTTTTCATGAT